CCGTCACTCACCGGAAACTAAGCTCCCTCTCACCCCCCCTCCCTTCCTTTTCGAGGGGGATTTATAAGCCCTTCTTCTGAGGGTCCAGTCATCGGGAAATATCGGCAATTTCCGTCAGTTGTCGGAAATCTCCGTCCCTCCCCGCCCCACATAAGCCCTTCTCTAAGGCAACATTCTTCGGGAAATATCGGTGATTTCCGACAATTGCCGGAAACTTCCTCCCTTTCTCCGAGCTTTTACAAACCACTCTTCTGAAGCTCTAATCTTCGTCAAACATCGGTATTTTCGTCAGTTGCCTGAACCTCCCTCCCACCGGATATTTATAAACCCTTCTTCTGGGGCGCCAGTCTTCGGCAAACATCGGTTATTTCCGTCAGTTGCCGGAAACTTCCATCCTGCCGGATATTTATAAACCCTTTCTCCGAGGCTCCATTATTCGGGAAATATCGGTGATTTCCGTCAGTTACCGGAAACCTTCCTCCCTTTTGCCGACGTTTTATAAGCCCCTCTTCTGAGGCTCCATTCTTCGGGAAACATCGGTAATTTCCGTCAGTTGCCGGAAACCAACCTTCCCTTTTGCGGTTAATTTACAAGCCCTTCTTCTGAGGGTCCGACCTTCGGCAAACATCGGCTATTTCCGTCAGTTGCCGGACACTTCCATCCTTTCTCCGATTTTATAAAACCTTCCGAAGCGCCAATCTTCGGCAAACATCGGCGATTTCCGTCACTTGCCGGAAATCAACCTCCCTCCCTTTCGCGGAGGGTTTATAAGCCTTTCTTATGAGGCTCCAATCTTCGGCAAACATCGGCCATTTCCGTAACTGGAAACGCTCGGAAAAAGGGGCGGTTCCTCTCCTCTGATTGGTCGAAGAGGCTTCTCTTGGGATCTTGCTCCGGTTCGAGCCCGTTCTGACGCCGACGACGAAGCCGCGGTTCCCAGAGTGAAATCCGGATCAGCGCCTCCGTGGAGGAATGAAGAGCTTGGTATGGATGGCAATTTATATATATATATATAGATAGATAGATAGATAGAGAGAGAGAGGGGGGGGTAAAATAATAAAACAGGGACCTTTTCTGTGAGAGGTTCTGGGCTGCGTCCGAACTGCAGAAATAATCCAGTTTGACACCGCTTTAACTACCGTGGCTCGGTTCTGTGGAATTATTTGACTATTATTAGAGTTCTGTATTTTTAATCTTAACTTTATACCGTTTTAACTGGGTTGCTTTGAGTGCTTTATTTTTTAAAAAAATAAATAAAATAAGGTGTTTTTATCTTCTGGGCCGCCTTGGGTCCCTTTTTTGGGAGAAAGGCGGCATACAAATGCAGAAATAAAAATAAATTAATAAATACCGTAAGTAATTTTGTTTCCAGTTTAAAGGGCATGGATATACTGTAGTTTTATCTTTATCGTTTCAGTATTTTGACTGTTTTGATAGGGACTGTTTTTAAGTGCTTTTGTCTTTTTGATGGCGTTTTAGATTTTAAATGAAGGGTGTTTTAATGTTGAACTAGTTGAATGCCGCTTTAGTGTGCGCTTTTGTGTGTTTTCAATTGTACTGTTTTAATTTGTAAGCCGCTTTAGTGTCCCAATTTGGGAGTAAAGAGGGATATAAATGTTTTTTATTATTATTAAAGAGCCACTGTGGTATAATGGTTTAAACGTTGGACTCTGACTCCGGAGACCAGGGTTCAAATCCCAGCTCAGCCATGGAAACCCACTGGGTGACCTTGGGAAAGTCACACTCTCTCAGCCTCAGAGGATGGCAATGGCAAACCCCCTCTGAGGAAATCTTGCCAAGAAAACGCCATGATAGGTTCGCCTTAAGGTCAATCATAGGTTTACAACGACTTAAAGGCACACAACAACAATATTTTTATTTATTTATTTATATTTATTACATATTTATTTGTATCCCACTTTTTTTCCAAAGCTGGAACTCAAAGCAGCTTACAGTATGAAAGAATACAACTAAAAACATACAAAAGAGAATTAAACTGCTACAGTATTAAAACATGTTACACATTAAAAGACTACAATGCAGTTCAAAAGATAAAAGCACTCAAAACAATTCAAACACTGCAACATCCCCAATTCTGGGAACTGTAGTTCTGTGAGACATTGAGCCTTCTCTGTCAGAGAGAGCTCTGGTGCCACAATAAACTACAATTCCCAGGATTCCCTAGCACTGAGCCAGGGCAGTTAAAGACGTCTCAAACTAGATTAATTATGCAGTGCTCATGTAACCTAAATTCGGTGTCACCTAGGGATAGATACCTCTCAAGACTACAAATCCCAGCATCCCATAGCAGTGGGGAGTGGGATGGTACGGCCTGCGCAGGCTTGGGCTACCTCTAAGGGCGGAAGGAAGGGCAACGACCATGAGTGCGGCTTCAGTCCTGGCATTGCGCAGGCGCAGGAAATGCCCCGCCCCTTTATTCCAGCTGTTCTTGGCTGCCGAAAACTTACCTGATTCCTACGGCGTTGATTGGCTGATCGGGACCACGCCCCCTCCAGTCCCGCCCTCAGATCCGAACGTCTAAGTAAAGGGTGGCAACAAGGCGGCTATTCTGGGAATCACGTGGGAGGAGAAGGAGGCTATTCTGGGGCTGGCAAGGAGCCCCTTTTCCTCCCTTTGTCAACCTTGGATTTCAAGAGGAGGGCAGAGGAAGGCTGAGACAGTGTGACCAGGGGTCCTCCTTTTCCAGGACATGTCCTACATTTCTGCCTTCTACCCAGGACAGGGTGACCAGAGGCCATAAATGGAGAACCTTCAAGGAAAGTGGAGGACCTTCAAGGAAAAAAAATGGAGGACATTCCAAAAAATAAAACCTAAAATCACTCATATAAGTCCTGCTTCTTAGCCATGGTCCCAATGGAGGACATTTTGGAATTCCTCCTGGGCAGGAAAGAGTGGAATGTAGGACATTCCTGAGAAAGGAGGACATCTGGTCAGTCTGCCTTTTCCAGGATGCCCCAGTGTCTCCTCTTTTCACACACACACACACACACACACACCAGGGTGACCATATGATCCTAATAACTGCCAAGGAGGACAAGGTGCTGCATAATGTAGGACCTTCGTGAAAAAAAGGGGGGGCATTGCAATAAAAAAATAAGACTTAAAAACACCCATAGAAATATGAATCCATGCATCTTAGTCATGCTCATAATGGAGGACAAAATGGAATTCTAACTGGGCAGAAAAAAACTAAAAACACTCATATAAATTCATGTTTTATAGTCATGTTCAAAATGGAAGAAACTTTGGAATTCCTCCTGGACAAAAAGGTTAAATGTAGGCTATGTCCTGGAAAAGGCAGAGAAAAGGAGGACATCTGGTCACTTTGCCTTTTCCAGGACCTGTCCTCCATTTCAACCTTCTGTCCAGGAGGAATGCCAAAGTGTCCTCCGTTTGGAGCACAGCTAAGAAACACGGACTTCAATTTATGAGTGTTTTTAGCTTTTATTTGGTCATGTCCTACATTTCTCTTGGATTCAAAGAGTATCAGTCTGTACAATCAGTATGTAGAGAGATCTTGTAGCACCTTTGAGACTAACTGAAAGCAAGAAGTTGGCAGCATGAGCTTTCGTAGACTTCAGTCTATTTCTTCAGACATTTCTCTTGGATGTCTTACATTTTGCAGTGCCTTGTGGTTAGGACATCTAGTCAGCCTGGGCTGAGAGAGTGTGAGGAAAAAGAGGGAGACTGGTGTGCAAACCATGGCTGAGAGAAGGATGGCGCTCTTGTATCTTTTCCTTGGTGGTTTTTCTTGTGTGTTTGCAAGTCATGTTGCCAACTTATGGTGACCCTAATGCAAAGCTATCATGGGGTTTTCTTAGCAAGATTTCTTCAGAGGGAGGTTGCCATTTCCTTTCTCTGAGGCTGAGAGAGTGTGATTTGCCCAAGGTGAGTTTCCCCAGTTCAGCCAGGATTTGAATCCTGGTCTCCAGAGTCCTATTTATTTACATATTTACTTACTTTATTTATATGCCAACTTTCTGCCAGGCCAGCACCCAAGGCTGCTTCCATGACACAATAATATGTTAGTCCTAATCCAATGCTCAAACACTACACCATGCTTGGCTCATCTTTTCCTTTGTCAATCATGTTGTTGTGTGCCTTCAAGTTGTTTCCAACTTATGAACCTATCATGGGGTTTTCTTGGGACATTTGTTCAGAGGGGATTTGCCATTGCCATCCTCTGAGGCTGAGAGAATGTGACTTGCCCAAAATCACTCAGTAGGTTTACATGGCCAAACCAGAATTCGAACCCTGGTCTCTGGAGTCTCTCTACTCCGGTAGAAATGCACAAGAGAAAGGAGGGCCCAGGAGTGCAGTTATGGGGAGGGATGAGAGCATTGCCCCTTGCCCAAATAAGAATTATGCCCCTCTGTGATATTTTTCTTCAATCCCAGACCTTTAGTATTGCTAGAACCTCAGTTGAGCATTCAGAAATAGAGTTCACATCAGCAAAGAAAATGAGCAAGCAAAGGGACCAACAGAATGCAAACAGCAAGCCTCAGAGATCTAGATATGGTTTTTCAATGGTTGCATCCGCATTGCAGAAATCATTCGGTTTGATACTACTTTAACTGCCATCATTCTGTACTATGGAATTCTGGGACTTGTAGTTTTGTGAGATATTTAGCCTTCTCTGCCAGCTCTTGGTGCCACAGCAAACTACAAATTCCAGGATTTCATACGACAGAGCTGTGACAGTTAAAGAGGTGTCAAACTTCATTAATTTTGCAGTGTGGCAGCAACCTCAGACTGCACTCATGTTTGCTGTTGAATGCACACTTGGGACTCAGGCCTTTGCAGACTGCCAGAAATAGTGCAAATTGAGTCCACTTTAAGGGTTAGGGTTAGGGAATCATGGGAACTGTATTTTATTGTGGCACCAGAGCTCTCTGACAGAGAAGGCTCAATGTTTCAGAAAAAAAATACAATTCCCATGATTCCCTAGCACTAACCCTAACCCTTAAAGTGGACTCAGTTTGCACTATTTCTGGCAGTCTGCAAAGGCCCTCAGATCAGATTTGTTTTCCAGCATAAAATGAGGTAGCGTGGGTGTATTTGCAGTTCTAAAGTAGCATATAAATGCAGAGCTTAATGGCTCTATCACAGAACAGATAATAATTCAATGAATAGTTAACAAGGACTCCATCCTTTACCTGTTTTGTTTTTTAGTGCACTTCTCTTTCACACCCGCATCCACATGCATACATTTGCTCTTGCGCTCATACAAAATTCTTCACTTGCACACACACATCAGCAGCTCTGAT